AGAGTGATTCAGGAGAGGGCTCCCAGTAGCTAGTGTGGAGAGCTATTTAAACCTGCTATAGCTTACTCTCCCTTCCTATGGGTCCTTGTCCTAACACCCTGCGTCTAGCATGAAAGCCATTATCCATAAGAGTCCTGCTGGATAGGAACAAAGGTCCATTTAGGCCAGTATCTTATTATCAGAGTGACAAATAATGTGCCCGAGGAAAGCTTGCAAGTAGACCCTGAGCGCCACAGCAATCTCCCTAGCAATTGTGCTCCCTCTGAAACTGGAGGTGGTACACAGCTACCCCTTTTCTCTGAATTGAGCATCATATTGCAGTTGGGATAATTACCCAGTTATCTTTAATAGTACTGCCCTACTGAATGTTTGGTTTTAGATTAAGCAACAACTTTTGCCTAATTTAGGGATATAATCCAATTGGACCCTTTCACTCACCAAGGGCTATTCATTCAGGGGATGCATCCAAGAACTGGAGAGTAGGAGGTGATATTTTTACTGATGTCACCTTCTACTCTATTCTGTAGGGAGCCTCAAGTCTCTGGAGCTGATCTTCATGGTGTGCTGGGGAGACAGAGAACTGGCAAAAATGGCATCCCCTTCTCTGATCTGCAGGATCAGAAGCCCTCCTGTGAGGACAAGGGCACCCATTGCATTTCAACCAATATTTATATTGTATCCTGTGCTTTTCACGGTGTTAAGTGTTTGCCAGCTTTAGGTGTCCTGGAAGAAAGAAGCTACTGTGGATGATCATTGCTAACTGGTTAAATTTCAAGCCTCACACCATCAGAAATGCATGCTCAGAAATTGACATTTGCTTCAATTGTCTTGTTTTGACAATGCTGAAATTTGCTTAATTAGATTGACTTCACTTAATTCATTTAGCTAGTTTTCTGGAGTCAATGCAGCCTAAACAAATTAAGCAAAGTCTAATTAAACTATCTGAACCTAGATTCTTTTTTTTTTCTTCAACGTCTTCGGTATGTTTGTTGTTTTTCTTTGCTTCTGTTTTGTATTTTGCTGATTGCAGCTTGTTGTCGCACATGGCAGCAACGAGAACCTGGCAACATACCAAATGTAAGAATATCTACAAATTGTTTGAGAAATTTTGAAAACATATTGACTAGAAATAGCATATATTCAATGCAAACTGTCAAAATAATGAGAACATGTTCAAGAACAATTTGCCAGAATTAAGAAGTACTCCTTTATATCTCTAGTTAAAAATTCATAATTTTTGGGTTTGGGCATTCCGGTTTGGGGAAATGTAATGTTTGTTTGTTTGTTTGTTTACTTATTCATATTCCACTGGTAGTAAATATGGCCTACTCTGAAATAGAAAATTTCATCCCGTCTCCGGGTGTGTTTTCCTCCATAGCTTGCTGAGAACAAGCTGGTACCTTAGTTTTGTTTGTGTAACAAGTCCTAGCTGCTATGCTGAGCTGTTGTTCTGTTGTTCACCAACAAATACAACTGTTGAAGTTATCCTCACTCCTGCTGCTTCCTGGTATTAGAGTAGGCTTTCCCCACACAGTGAGTACTCTTTCCAAACCTATGGGTTACCACACCACCCTTCCCTAAAGGAGCTCAGTGCAGTGTGCAAGGTTCTCTCTCCACCCTATTTTATATTCACACAAAAACCCCTGAGGTAAATTATGCCGAGTTTCACAGCAGAGTGGGGATTTTGACCTGGGCTAAACATTCCAAGTATTAAGGACTCTTGCTTGCTATTGTTAAGAATGAAGATACATTTTATATATTTTTATTTTCTACTGTTGGATAAAATATTTGGGAGAAAAATGTAAGTGAAATATTCAGTAAAACCAAAGCTAGGATGAAGTCTTATATAGTCCATTTTAGTAAAACTGAATTAACAGCTGCAGCCGTTCTGGGATATATGTGTGTGTGTGTGTGTGTGTGTGTGTGTGTGTGTATGTGTGTGTGTGTGTATCTCAATATATATCAGCATTTAAGAAAAAGAAATACATTTTCCCCCTTGGTGCCTGTAACGGCTGAGTTGTTTGCTTTGGATTTTTTATCTTTCAAACTGATTACCAGAAATGTCAACATCCTTCAGGAAAGAAAACAGTTATTTCCCACAATTCATTTTCTGAGAGCTGGTCTACCATTTGGGAAGAGCCACTCAGGTAATCATACATTAGTAAGACTAATCACTTCGTTAGTCTATTTTGTTCTATATCTGTGTTTCGTCCATTTTTGTTTTTTTGAAAAACGCAACTTATTTTATTGGTGTGGGGCTTGTTGCATTATTCTAGGTGAACAATCTGACAATGGAGGGCATAGGTTAAACCCAATCACAACGTCCTCCAGCTTACTCATTTCATGGTGTTAATAAGATATTGTATTTACGGTACTTATTTTATGTAATTCTAAATCACCCTTAATTCAGGCTTGTGAACCACCCTGTGATCTAAAAAGTTCAAAAATTGAGTACAGTGCCTGCAAATATAGCTCATTTGAAAATGAATTTATACCTGAGCACAAAACCACACTGAACACAGTGTAAACAGAAAATCTGGAGTCTCCTGAGTGTCAGAGTTGACACTGCCATAAAAAGTAGTTTTAGTTGAAATGGCTGGTTAACCAATTATCACTAAGTGATTCTGTAGAGCAGTTTTCTCTTTGTTGCAATCGATGTGAAAGAATCTATATGATATTGTACCTGTAGCTTAATGACAGTAATGTTTGACTGAATGGATTGCATAATGCAATAAATGACTCCAGTGACTCCAATTAAAAGCCACGACTGTGACGGCCTTGTCATTTTGTTGGCAAGATAGGAGTAACAAATCAATTCATACCTACCTCACATGAGCATCAGAATTATTCAATTAATTTCAATGCACAAGCACTGAAAAGAATTGTGAAAATTCAGTCCAATCAGGACAGAACGTTTTCAAAATAAAGTATCTGTTGCAATAACCTTCAAACTTCCCAGACCTGGGAACCAACTTTAACTGAAGCAAGCACTGGGGACCCATTTCTCACATTATTTTAATCAAATGTTTGTATAGTTGTAGTTGAAGCCCACACTAGATCAGACCATGACCCATTAGTGGGTTGTGATCCACCAGGTGAAGACAAATGAGTTACCTTCTAAACAGCAAGAGGGGTACTAAGGTGGTATCTTGACATCATTGAATAGCTCTGTTTAGTGTTGTTCACTCTCATGTGACACCAGAACAAGAGGCAGAAACTTGGACAGTCAGTAGCAAGTGTGTCTGGAACTCTGTATGGTAGCATATATGTGCACATAGACTTCCTATGCGCTAAACACAATTCTTAATTGTGTGTACATTTGTTCTGTTGAGAGCTTCTGCAAATGTGTGGCAGGAGAGCTGCATTCAATGAGCACATGTTGCAAGCGGGAATGCCTTTATTCTTTAAGAGTCATTTGAAAATGCTGCAGTGGTTCCATCCTTCCAGCATCCCAAGACTTTGTCAATTATGTAAGGTAAAGGTAAAGGTACCCCTGCCCGTACGGGCCAGTCTTGACAGACTCTAGGGTTGTGCGCCCATCTCACTTAAGAGGCTGAGGGCCAGCGCTGTCCGGAGACACTTCCGGGTCACGTGGCCAACGTGACAAAGCTGCATCTGGTGAGCCAGCGCAGCACACGGAAACGCCGTTTACCTTCCCGCCAGAGCGGTCCCTATTTATCTACTTGCACCCGGGGGTGCTTTCGAACTGCTAGGTTGGCAGGCGCTGGGACCGAGCAACGGGAGCGCACCCCGCCGCGGGGATTCGAACCGCCGACCTTTCGATCGGCAAGCCCTAGGCGCTGAGGCTTTTACCCACAGCGCCACCCGCGTCCCTTGTCAATTATGTAAATACTGTTAATTTGTTTGGAGGGATTGTAATGTTTCTAATCATATTCTGTGGTAGTGTAAGAAGATTCCTGCTGTATCAGACTAAAGGCCCATCTAGTACCTCTGCTTATGTTGACCTCCAGTTACGTATCCTACGGGATATGCAGGCAGCAAACCTGGAAGTATTTTTTCCGGGTTTCTCCCTGTGCACATGCGCAGAAACACTAAACCATGCTGTGCGCATGCACCTAAACGGCACCTCCAAATATGCCCACCTCGGGATTCAAATGGAGCTCCGGAATGAATCCGGTGCACAACCGGAGGTACCTCTGTATAGAATTTTGTTCAGTCAAGGATTCTCTTACCACATTTTGAAGATAGTGATCATATAAAAGGCCATCCTTCTCATAAGGTCCAGAGTCTAAAATACCCAACATGAACACTGTGGCCTTTGTGACGTCCTCGTTGAATGATGAAAACAGCAATTGCAGAGCACACATCGCAAGCAGAACTCTTGCATCACTTCAGACACAATACTTTTCAGAGGAGATATTTCATACATGTGCATGCAAATGTGAATTAGTCTTGAATGCTATCAGGAATTAGCTGTATTATTGGCATACTCCGGGGTGTTTTTTGTAATGGGATGAAGGAAGAGACAAATTCAATCTGGATGTAAATTCTCTTTTTTAATATGACTAAACAATATTGAAGAAATGCAAATGTATGAACTGCAGATGTGAATACATTTTGTCCTAAGAGATTTGTAAGGAAGTAAAAGCCCTGAAGGGCTGAAACTGCTTCTGAGTTTTATGCATGTTGTGTATATCTTTGTGTCTGATGCATTAATCTTGCATTAGTTGTCTGGATCCTTAATTGACAAATGCTTGCTTAGAATATGCAGACTGTCTGAAGGAATGCCTCGAGCATCATCTCCATATTATTTATCTTATTAAAGCATCCACTAGGTGGGTGTAAAATATCTTCCAAGACATTATATTATTTATTTATTTATTTATTTTGCAAACCAATTCTGGCCCTAGGAGACAGGGTAAAACTTTACTGTAATAAACTGTAAACAGCGGTAGTAATAAGCAGATTTATATATATTTTAGCTAGTACATAAAAATGTAAACAAAAGACTTAAAAACACATGTATTTCTTGTTTTCAGGCCATCAGAGCTCTGGTGAAGAAATGCAAATAAGGTACAGTTTATTTTCTTTTAATATAGAAATGCTATAGGCAAAGTTAAATTTTACAATATGTTTTCCCAATTCCCCCAAATTAATCATTTTATGGGTTTTTTAATGGCACAGTGTAGAAATAACTATTGTGTGCTCATTGTACCACATTTTCTTGGCTGATTCCTGCACTGTCCCTAATGGTCCATTTTCTATACATGTTTGACCTTTATATGTCACATTTTTATTTAACTTGCATGTATGTAGATTCAAGGGATTTGTAAGGATTGTGGTACAGATGAATGCTGAATATGAATCTTTAGATTAATGATAAAACCTACATTATTTAAACACACAGCTTTTCATTGCGGTGGAGTGCAGGGAAGTTCAGGTCCTGAAAGGTTTTTAAAAATTCAGTGAGTGAAATGGATATGGACACCTCAAGGGGAACTTCAGTTCAGTGTTCTTAATTCTACCTGTTTAGTTACTTTGGCTGTGTCTACACATAACACTAAGCCAAACCATGACTTAGTATGGATGTGTGCACCTCCGGGCCCAAGGCTATCCAGAGCTAAGAATGAAGAGCTGGTGAAAGAGCCATTTTTGCACCACACAAACGTTGGTGTTAGACACAGTTTACACTAAAGAAAAGCAGTGCCTTTTACTAGCCTTGTCGGATTTGCCACTGTAGTCAACGCTTTGATAACTCCAAGGCTGGATTACTGCAGTGTGAGACTGCCTTGGGCCTGGTTCAGAAACTCCAGCCGATGCAGAATGACCGCTCCCCGCATAAAACGGGGGGCGACCTTTGTGTGGACGCGCGTAGCCCCTGGATCTGGAGCAGCTCCATTCAGCATAGGCTTGGCTTTGCCTTCCCTCAGGTGGGATACCTGGAGGTCTCCGCCTACCCCAGTCAGTTGTCCAATCCCACCTGGGGGAAGCGTTGCCAAGGAGATCAGGCCAGGTGGGGGTGGGATTACCCACCCACACAATAGAGGGAGGATCTTACCTGGGAATCCTCACATGTTCTCTAGAGCCAGCCCATCCCCCACACAAACACTGGATAACCCTGATGCTCCCTAGGTCCCCGGCTGGGGACTGGGGAGGGAGAACGCCCAATGCCTGAGCCAAGGTCTACCCACATTTGAAATTTAATAAAGTTGTGGCCAATTTAACCCCATAGCACATTGTCTTGAGTTGTTATTCCACATGACGGGGGGGGGGTGCGCTCGGGACCTGGGGACTCCGCCTGTCCATGCAATGTGGCAGCCAGACTGCTAATCGCCGACAATATTTGACACCATTATTAAAATATCTGTACTGGCTTTCCATTTACTACTGAGCCATGATCAATGTCCTATTTTAATTTACAAAGCCCTGAAGACGTTAGGTCCAGGCTGTCTTAGGTTGCCTAAAGCCTTGTATCCCAGCTTGATCACTGAGATTGTCTGCAGGCGTGTTGCTAGTCATTTTCTCAGTTGGTTAGGCTCATTTATCCGCAACAAGACAACAAGCCTTTAGTGACATTGGCATGTCTTGTGGAATTCTCTGCCAATAAAGAATCAGCAGGTGCCTCCTGTTTCAACCTTTAAACACCTGCTGAAAATGCTTCCAATCCATCAGGTTTATACAAGCAATTAAGAATACACCAAATTAAGAATACATGTTTTTAACTGAGCTCTGATTTTAAATATTTGGATGGTATTTTTAATAATATGTATAACTGTTGTAAACCACTCTTTCCTTTGGATGAAGTGATTGCTAGATACTTTGTAATATTTGAGTTTATTTACGAGCATACAAATTGGCCACAGATTGAAGCAGACTGCTTAACCAAGCCAGTCCAACTTTTCATACTAAGTGGGCCACAAGAATACTTTGACATGGAACCTTGTTGTGTGGGAGGTCAGAGGTTTCTGAGGGCTGCCAAAAAGGCATCAAGGGCTGCATGTGGCCCTCAGGCTGTGTGCTAAACTGGCTTAAACACACCAATAGCAAAATCCACTACCCCAGATCTGATTTCCAGAGAGTCAGCTGCAAAAACACAGGGTGTGTGTCCTACTTCCAACAGAAGAATGACACAGTTAAGATTGTGCTGTTGTGCAGTCTTGCCTTTTGCCCAATCAGTCAGTTATATTATCCTTTCCCCATTCACTCAGAAAGCTCGTGGTTTCTGGGCAATGGTAACACTAGGATTCTCTGAGCCTCTCTCTTGTTGTAAAGGCTGCATAAGGGAATCACATTGTTTGCTTCCTCCCTTAAGATGACATCACTGATCATACCATGGCAAGGGGGCAGTGTCAATGCTACAGGTAGTCTCTGCACAGAGTGATGGATGCACTCAGCATGGTTATTTAATTTCTCTTAATACCCCATTATTTGGAGATCACTGTTGGGAATGGGCTTGGATGTAGGAAATCTCAGCTCACTTCTCCAGTTCACTAGGAAGCATATTGGATAGCCTTGAGCTAGTCACTATCCCTTAGCTTACCCAGCTCACAGAATGGGTAGGAGACTAAGATGTTACTCAGACTTCACTGAAGGATAAATGGACTTTGAATGCAAGAAATAAAAAAGGTTGAAGGAAGAGATAAAAAGAGGCAGCTAAAGCCAATACCAAATGCTGTGTCCTTTAAAGATTAGCACTTTTAAACAGCACTTTCTAAAAATCAATTTAACAACAACACAGACAATGCATTATTCAAACCCATAAACAAACACACTTATAAGTCCATTGCATTTGGCAGGGAAGCCTTTATGTAAACTTTACTAAGTGGGAATTAAAGTAATCCAGTCTGTGGGGTATTTTAAAGTTTAGTGCCATGACTTCAGTAAATGCTTTACCCTTTGGTTCTCATACCTCTTTAAGAAATGACTTGTTCTATTCTGCTTTAATTTGAACAATTGTTTCCTTTCCCATTTTTAATTTTATTCTCACTGTAGAATGCAGAGGACGTCAGAGACTTATCTCTCCTTCATAAATGGTCATAGCTCAAACTATTAGTGCAGGAGAAAAGTGTGGAATTATATAAAAAAAATCCACTTTAAGACAAAAAAAGATTAATCCCATAAGCTGTTCAATCAAGTATTAATGAAATATTTCCATTATTTCCAAATGGGTTCATTTTAACCACATATTTCAGAGGTTCTTGGCAATCTCTTGCCTTGTTCTGTTGGTTTAATGCCAACATTGCTGACGTAGGGATGCCAGAAAGAAGACAGAAAAAACTGGATGTGATAATGACATAATGCACCCTTTCCTGACATAGAATCATAGAATTGTAGAGTGGGAAGAGACCACGAGAGTCATCTAGTCCAACCCCTTGCAGTACAGGAATCTTTTTGCTCAATGTGGGGCTCAAACCCCTGACCCTAAGATTAAGAGTCTTATGGTCTACCAACTGAGCTATCAGTCCAAGTCCTAGATGTTGTCTGCTCAACATATGAAACGTACATATATTCACATACTTCACTATTGTTTCACTTGAAGGATCTAATTTGCAGACACCTCTATTTGACTGCTCCCACATGTAAAAAATCTTGTGCTTGCTTAAATACCAACAAGCATACAAAACACTTGTGCATCAAGAGCTATGCTATGCTAGATCCCGCTAAAGAAAGAGGTGAAACAACACAGCCTACCAAACAACCTATCAGAAGAACAATTTATTTTGCAATCACTTCTTTTAATAAAATAAAAAATTATGTACTAATAGAAAACTCAAATGCTATATAGTAAAGGGGAGCGTACTGTGAAACAAGAGGGAGGTACCAGCATGTACCACAAAAAAATATCCAATGAAGACTTTGCATTCTCAGTAGCCACAAAATGAAGGATTCCTTAGATAGGGATTGCTTGTTAGTTCAACCTCCACAGATTGTGCATTGTTTATATTACCAATCTTCATGAACCCTCTATCTGCCATTACTTTCTGCCATTGTTTTCACTCATCCTTAGATAGCTTCTAGATATTTTTTTTACTTCATAGAAAGAGTGATTTGTACCTACACATTACATTGCTTTGATGCCGACTTTTAATTTAGCAGACTTCAAATTTCATTTAAGAAAACGTAGAAGAGGCAGTGACACACTGCTTCGCAAATGTGTTAGGAAGACATAATATTTTAGAACGATCAGAGCACTGTTTATTTAGAGACCTCTTTGCTCTCTTAAACAGGTTGTTTAAGGAATGTTACTGTGCATTTATATGTGTTACTTCAGGAGACAAGGAAGCTATAATAGGTGTTAAGATGAAGCCAATATGCTGTATTAAAAAACAGAGAGTGAAATCAGCTCACATCTGGGCAGTGTGAAATCATTTGCTGCTTTGGCTTCCTATTACAGAGTCATAGAATGAGAAGGGACCTTGAAGGTCATTTAGTCCAGTACCCTCCAATGCAGGAATCTCAACCAAAGAATCCCTGACAGATGGCCATCCAACCTCTGCTTAAAAACCTCCAAGGAAGGAGACGCCACCACCTTCCAGGGGAGTCCATTCCACTGTTTAATAGCTCTTCCCATCAGAAAGTTCTTACTGAAATTTAGTTGGAATCTCCTTTCATGGAACTTGAATCCATTGATTCTGGTCTTAGCCTCAGGAGCAGGAGAAAACAAGTTTGCTCCATCTTCCATGTGACAGCCTTTTAGATATTCAAAGATGGCTATCAAATCTCCTCTCAGTTTTCTCTTTACCAGGCTAAACATACCCATTTCTCTTAACCATTCTTCATACATCCTGGTTTCCAAAACCTTGATCATCTCAGTTGTCTTCCTGTCCACATGTTCCAGCTTGTTAATATCCTTCTTAAATTGTGGTGCACAGAAGTGGGCACAGTACTCCAGGTCTGAACTGACCAAGGTAGGATAAAATATTACTTCCCATGACCCGAACACTACAGTGGTACCTCGGGTTACGAACTTACCGTATTTTTCGCTCCATAAGACGCACTTTTTTCCTCCTAAAAAGTATGGGGAAATTTCGGTGTGTCTTATGGAGCGAATGCCTATGGATGGCGGGGAGGTC